ACACAACGTCGGGCCCTTGACGGGATTCGTCATTTTAAAATCACTAATGCCCAAAGACTGGGAATATTCGATCAGTTGCATGGGGTTTTTTTTGTAATACTCGAAACCGTGTTTTTGCGAAATACCTGATGCAGCCCAGGCTCATACAGACTTTACCCTCAGCACCGCACTGGTAATTTAAGTTTGAGACTGCTGGCTTATGGTATAACTTGTTTGACTATAAAATCAAAGTTTATTTCTTTTGCTTCATTATGTGTTTGATGCTTTCATCACCAATAGATTCAATTGTATAAAATGTGCGCTGTCGATATTCAGGGCTATACCAGTTCTATTTAGCAACACTTGTTTCAAACTGGAATCTGAAATAGTTGGTACAAATTAAGGAAGTCAATTGCATGCTTTCTGGATACAAATTGTCTCTTTCTCTATAGTGCCAACTGCAAAGACAAAGCGAACACGGAGAGCAAATGACTCAATTTCCACCTTGTGTAGGGACACACAAGAACATGCGTGACTACTTCAATAACACGAACACTTGCCCAGAAAGACGTAAAACGTGGAGTTCTTTCGGAACAATTTTGTGCTGCAATTATTTCATCTCGTACTTATACTGGATATTGATATTATGAGCATGCGGTAAGATTTTTGTTACCCGATGTGCACTATATTTTTGGCGGAACGTTATTTATTAATAACGTTCCACGTCGTCTTTGCTATTGTGCAAGAAAGAAAGAAAGAGAGAGAGAGAGAGAGAGAGAGAGAGAGAGAGAGAGAGAGAGAGAATGTGTGTGTGTGTGTGAGAGACAGACAGACAGACAGACAGACAGACAGACAGACAGACAGACAGACAGACAGACAGACAGACAGACAGACAGACAGACAGACAGACAGACAGACAGACAGACCGAGAGTAAGGGAGAGAGAGGGAGGTGCAAAGAGAGAAAAGAGAGAGTGGGGGGGGGGGAGAGATGAAGTGTGTACATAATTATGTTTGTGTGTGTGCATGTGTGTGTGTGTGTGTGTGTGTGTCTGTGTGTGTGTGTGTGTCTGTCTGTATGTGTATGAGTGTGTTCGTGTGTGTGTATGTGTGTATGAGTTTGTGTATATTTGTGTGTAAGGGGGGGGGGGGTGAGAAAACATTGTGTAACCCATAATGTAGTATACCAACGGGGGTCCCGAAGTTAAAACACAAAGTTCCTTTTAAATGTGTCTCTTTGTTCACAAAATTTATTGCACTGTTACTGCTTGAACATTTTCTTCTTTGCCACAAGTAAAATTGAAAAACTGTAACAATTTTTGTCAAGCAATTTCTTATTGACAACCCCGACATTGCTTTGCTCTGTCCAGCATTGTATTTCCATTTGTCCTCTGAAAGTCAAGTTTGCTATTTTTTCTGCTTAATTCTTACTGTTAAGGCTCGACTACAGGACAGGTTGGATCTGTTTGTATTTATTTATTTATTTATTTGTTTTTTTAACATTTATTTATTTATTTATCTATTTATTCTTTTCTTTCTTTCTTTTTTCTTTCTGTTTTTCTTTCTTTCTTTCTTTCTTTCTTTATTTAGGGGTTAGGGGTTGGGGGGGGGGGGGGGGGGAATTCCCATTGGAAATGCTGTTATGCATAAATGCATGGAATCTTGATAAGTGCGGAGATTGTAATTGGACAGAAAAAAGCAGTATAGGATATAGCAGAAAGTTTGTATAATTAAATACTCTCTGGATCTAGCTGTAACATAATGCTGACTCGACTATTATTTGAATTTCATCTCGATCTACATAGAAAGCTTTACCCTTTTGAACACTGGAAGGAAGAAGAGCATTGGTCTATATCTTGAATTGAAATTCATAAGTAATGTTTTATTAGTGTATATGATTCAGTATATTGTTATATATTAAACAGTCACTTAATATACTGTTTGAATAGTGGAGTGAAATGCTATGGAACGGAAATCCATCAATGTGCTAATTATTTGATGAAGTCTATAGCATACTATTGTGTCGAGCTTCCGCACAGGAAGATTTTGTTAGATTTTGACTGTTTGTTGCTGTCTGCCATTAAGGTAAAAGTAGTCATTGACATCAGTGCTTCTATAGCAATCGCTACGGGTGGTATAATTATTGTCCTCTCAAAGCAGGTCTCCGTCTTTTCTTGGTCTTTCTTTTCCAGTGTTTCTCAAAAACGCCTCGCTGTTGTATTTGTTTTCTGCACCCTGTTGTCACATTTTATAACGGTTGCTGTTACTACAATCGTCATTATTTTCTTATATCATTTATGGCGTTATATTTTGGCTTCAAGTTCAAGCGTTGCTTCCAAATACATAAATTTCGTTTCTAAGACAGGAGAATACAGAACATTTTCTACGTGAAAGTAGTACCCTACGCAGCCTGGTCTGGTACTAGATCTAGTGGACTCCAACAAGATTTAGATTTTGTCGAGCAGGAGCGATTCATTTTTTTTATTTATTGGTTTGTTGTTTTGTCTTTGGGTGGGGGGTGAG